TAAGGGTAGTATAATACTTTCGCTTCTCCAGGGGTATGTCAAATGATGATTTTGGCTTGGGTTTATCCCTAGTTTATTTGGTAGCTAGGGGTATGTAAAATAAGCCGTAATATTTTTAGTGGTATTTAAAAATTATATTTTTTAGCCCAAAAATATATTATACGAAGAAAAAAATATTTCAGCTATTTCGTTATCAAGTTATTTGAAAATCATATTTTTTTCCAAATATTTCCACCAATTACAATAAATGATTTATTAATCGAATAATTTGGTAATAAAAGTTTATTTGATTTTATTTTGTAAGGAAAAAAAATTCAATTATCCGGTATGATTTTTATTTTTTCACACTTTGTGCGCTCGAAATTAGGTTGGATGGTGAAGAAAATAACAATTCAATTTTCTTATTTTGCACCCCTAAAGAAAAAAAAAATAGCCTTTATTATTCAATTAAGGGTACATTGTGAATGATTTATTTTGTTTTGAGTGTGCAAAGTGCTATTATTATTTTTCGAGGGCTAAAGTGTCAAAAGACTTCATTTCAAGGGTACAAAATGGGATTAAGCTTTGTTTTTTTTGGAAGATATTTCCCATATGCATTTGGGCTGTCAATTTGTTCGGTTTTGCCCTCCAGTTTATTATTCGCCTCTTGTTTTTCATTTGTTTCCTTTTTTTTTTGGTGTTGGGAGGAGGGAATTATTGGGGGTAAAAACATCGTTAAATTTCATTATTGAAAAAAAAAATCATATATTTACTGAGGTGTGTTCGATTTTTTTTAATTCTTTTTCGTTTTTGAAAGTGCAAATTACTAATTGTGAGTAAAGGTTATGTTCATTTTTAAATTCTGGTCTTTTTTTAATAAATATTGTAAAACAAATATAGATTAATTAACTGAATTATAAGTAGCAGTGTTTGGAAGAAAACTTCAAACTCGTTTTTGCAATAGAAAAGAATAATAAGGGCATAAATGTCAAATACAATTTCTTATAGATTATCAAGTGCTTAACTGATCTTCTAATCCTTGTACCAACTTATCACATCCGGAACCAATTGAGCTATACTCATACAAGTCTGATCTTCTAATCATCATTGCTAGCATTTCAAGTCAAGTCAAATATGATTATTAATTATAATCAAAAGGTCTTAAGTCATACGTATTTGGCCTTAAAAACGTATTATTTTTTAGGGTCTCAAGTTTTCGATATTTATACTATCGCTTCTATTTGATCTAAGATAGAACCAAACAATTAAACTGTATTAATTATAGAATAATTTAAATATATAATAATTATTAGAGACACTACAAAAAAAACAATTTTATGTGACAAAAATTATTGTCACGAAAGCTTGAAGTTTTGTCACAAGAAACCTTTTGCGACAAAAGATTTCGTCACAGCGGTCGTCGCGTAGGGCCTGTCGCGAAAGGTATTATGTGACGAAATGCTGTATCGTCAAGATAGCGTGTGACGAATGTTCTACTCGTCACAACTGTTGACGCTTTCGTGACGAATATTTCGTCACATAAGAGTTATTGTTTTGTCACTAATATTGATTTTCGTCACAATAAGTGTCTCCCAGCTTTACTTGTTGTGACGGATTCATTCGTCCCATGAACTAAAATTGTATCGTGACAATATTTTCGTTGCTAAAAGTCCACAAATATTGTCAAAACAAGCATTTTTCTTATTTCTCGTGACAAATTATTCGTCACATAAAATTCATTTGATTTATCAAAAATATTATATTTCTAATATAAATATTGTTGTTTTGACTGTTTAAATTTAACTTACAATTTCGTCAAAATAATAAATTCAAAGAAACTTAAAATAATTATAGTCTCATATCCGAATTTACATCTCAACAACTGATAGATAATAATCCAGATGCTACAAAACAAATGGTCTGAATTGCAAAGTTAAGTCTAAAAAATATCCAAAGGTACACTAGATCTAAATACAAAAATATCTCAACAAAAACCAACTTCACTTCACCAATAAACTGGAAGGATCGAACATATTATCAACTGCAACGTCATCCTTCAAAAGCTTAAACATTCGTCCAAAATCAATCTGCATAAATACCACAAAAAAAGCAGATGCCTTACAAGATTGGACCACAATTTAACAACATTGCCCAACTACATAGAAACTACGATGCAGCTCATTCGAAAATGAAATTTATCATCAATTTCAAATTGGTTCCCAAAGCCTAAGCGAAAAGAACTGTAACTTCAAATATACCAGCAGATGTATCTTCAAAACGTATTCGGAAACCAATCGTAAATTATTTTATTAGAGCAGCGATAATACATATAAAGATTCGAATTTTGCATGATTCCAATAAAACACGCACTTAAATCAGTCATAAAACACACACTAAAATCAATCAGAGGATATAAATATAAAAAGGTAAAAATTTCCTTCAAACAACATACACCAATAGAAGAATCACCTTGGACAAGAAATCCCATTTAAGGAAAGAATCACCTCATAACATTCATCAGAAATGTCAAGAACATATTAGGCAGGTTGTTGCTAATCTATGTATAACACTTGGAGTTTAAAATATTTAAAAAAATTATTAATTTTACATCAATAGGTGTAAAATACTATAACATTTTAAAGCTGAGTTTTCTTACCAAAAAGATTTGTCGCCGTCGAGGTGGTATTCATGCATGACCCACTTGGTTTTCTCCCGTGGGGCCCTCCCTTTGTAGAAAACCAGTGTTCTCTTCATTCCAAGAAGTGCATCACCACCAGTACTTGAACGACCACCACCACTACAACTGCTGTAAACTTCTCTGTCTTTTCCGGTGGCTTTCCAGTAACCGGCGCCGGTGGTTCTGTTAGTTTTCAGCTCAGTTGGATACTTTCTGTCTCTCAAGCTGAAGAAATACCACTCCCTTTCTCCCATTTTCGCCACATCTACAAAACGATATTCATAAGTTAATTCTGCTCTATATATATATGTCAAGAACAAGAAACTCGAAAATGAAAGTGGTGAAGAAACATGAAGATCATGACCAGTCGACTGAACAATAAGAGTTGGGAGTTCCCTTCCATGCAAGAATGACTCTGATGAACCAATTTCAACACTGCAAACATGGACAAGTAATACTTATAATGTTCTTTTACTACATAGCTAATATATACATAGTTATGAGACACAAGGA